AGGGTGCAACCATCTGCCTTTCAGTGTTGTTTCTCTCCCAAGTTTCCATCACATCGCTTTGAAGACCTGGATTTAACACAGAGCCTCCTGGTTCTACCTCCTGAGGAGAGGGGGCATCACAAGGTGTTGGTGTTCATGTGCAGGTATGGGGAGTTCAGTACCATGGATAAAGTGAAGGAACAGCTAGGGACATGAAAATGAATGTACAGGTGCTGCTCAAATGCCCTGGTGTATCCACCAAACCATTCCTGGTCTTTATTTTTTGGGTTGATTGTTTTGGAAGGATAGGAGACAAATTCAGGCATTGGCTGGGAGTGAGTAGCCATTTATCAAGCTCCTGTAAAAGAGGAGTTTTTACACTGATGCTGAAGGGGTTTGATTTTCACACAGCTACAAAACTTGCAGTGTTACATTGATGTGCTTCTTTTAGAATAGCATTTATCAGGTAATACCCACTTTTCTCTCTCTAGGAAGGAAGCAAGAAGCGATCCATACTGACCGCAGCCCTGCTAAGTGGTCAGGCGGGCTCACGGTTTGTTTTCCGTGGCAGGCATCACCAAAGAAGGGATCCTGGAATTATCCAAGGTATTATTTTCATTCTGCCACACCTCTAAGGCTGCACAGGGTTTTCCATCTCTCCTCTTTCATAAGAGCTTCCCAAAGTCTAGACTAGTTCATGCTTGTGTGCCACAGTGGTGAACGGAAACAAGAGGCACCGGAATGTCACAGTTAAGTTTGAAACCTTAATATTTCAAGCATTTTGATTTTATTCAGAACAGGTGCTTTGCAAAGGTAGCTGACAAAATAATGTTCTGTAAGGGAAAAAAATAATTTTCTGAAACAGGTGGACAAACCAGTTTTGGTATAAGTGTTAAAGTTTTATTTGTGCTATGTAGAATGATAAATGTGATAAGTGTGAGAGAATTGACAGTGCTACATGTTCCCTGGTTCATATTTTATAGCATTCACATTTTAGTTTCTAACAATCTACTGCAATCCATAATTAAGACTGTAAAGCACCCAGTAGTGGCTTCTGTGGGTTTTGGCTCAGGAACATAAAATTTAACTCAGAGGAAAATATCTGAGCTTTCAAAAAAAGGCTGTTTTCACATAGTGGTAGAAAATGAGAGAAATTTCAGCTCAAACAAGAAATATTTCAGGCAGGATCAGGGGTGAGAATGCAAAAGTAATTGAGCTGATGTGCAATACTGACTGCTCTGGAGCTCCTCTGAGCTGCACAGGGCTTGGCTTCCCTCGATGCCTTCAAGCTCTTCAATTGACACCTTCAGAGCAAGCTGACAACACATCTGACTGCTCGTGAGAGTTTGCTCTTGTAAATCTGTGGTTAGAATGAGCAGCTGGTAAACAAACACAGCCTATAACCTTGGTGTTGTGCTAAATGTGAAAAGGGGAAGAGACTTAACAGACTGTTTTAAAACCTCCCGGCTGGCACAGAGCTGCATGTTCTCAGCAATGGGTGGACAAGGCTCCAGCAGAAGGACCCTGCCCTGGTTCTGTCCCTCCCTCTCCGTGGGCTCTCTCCAGGACCAACCTAATCAGAACTAAAACTGCTATCAGCAGCCAGGCACACACCTTTCCACGTGTCACACCTTACCTTGCAAAGCCCCAGTGAAGTTGGCTTTGCATTTGTTGCCTACCAGACAAGCTGGGTGCTGTGGCCTTCCCTCCTACGCCTCACTCCCAGCTCAATTCTGTTCCTGACCAGCAGCCTGTGCAACCCAAGTGTGGTGGGACCCTGACTCCTCAAGCAGGGTGACAGGGCTCTTGCACTGCACTTGCAAGCTCGATGGCTTGCTGAAACCCATCAGCCTGATCCTTGCCCAGTCACCTCCAGAAGACTGGGGGGTATCAGGAGCAACCACTGGCCCCAAGCCAGGCACATCATGCAGTGTTGCTCTGAGCCACAGCCCAAGGTGGAGCATCAAACTCACCCCGGGGCCGCCAGTGCCCAAAGAGCCACATGGTGTGAGAGACCAGGCAGGTGAATGAGGCCAGCAGGACCTGCTTCAGCACAAATCAGGCAGGGCCCAACGCTTGCTGAGGACATTGCAGGGGTCAAGCAACTTTAGGGAGATTCAAAAGGCTTTTTGGCCCCCTGGAAACTATGTAGAGGTGAAGTGAAGGTCATAGTTTCATTTTGCTGTGCAGGCAGGCCTTTCACTAGCTAGAGGAAAAAAGCTCAGCAGCTGTTTCTGTCCTGAGTATGTCATTCCTCTGAGTAAAAATCAGACAACACCGAGGAAGGATGAGTTTTTAATATTCTCTCCATCTTTTGTGTTTGAATGTATTTAAATAAATAGTTTTTTTTCCTGTTCAAGGGTTAAATCTAAATACATAAGTGAAAGAACAACTTCCTTCTTTGCCTAAGTCAGAAACATGCTCCCAAGCTTATTTCTCAGCATGTGAGCACAGGTCAGGTTTTGTGTCCGCAGGGCCAGCCCTGCTGGATCCTCAGCCTGTGTAAATAGCCCGGCCCGTCCTGCCGCGCCACGGAGGATTCCTGTCCCTTTGTGAGACGAGGGACATGGCGGGCCGTGCCGGGCAGGCCTCCGGGCAGGGCGGCTGCCGCAGGGCTGCCGGCCGGGGCTCTTCAGGGGGTCAAGAGGCCGCCCTGCAGCGTTCCGAGTCAGGGCGCAGCGACTGGCCCCGGGAACGGCGTGGAGTGGTTTGGGAGAGCTCATCTTCCGCTTTTCTTCCCCTCTTGGCAGCAATCCCGTCCGCCAGCTCCCG